CGCGCAGGTGTGCATACCAGTAAGTGGTCCCAGCCATCAGTCTGAGGGTCCTGCCTTTCTCATCTCCCTCCCTCTCGGGTGTTTGACCTTCAAACTATTTTAGAGGATGTTTGCAGTTAAGTTGGCTACAAGCCCGGTCGAGCAGCCCCCTTCAACTGCTTTCGGAGGAGGTCGGCTCTGAGCCTGGCTGAGCAGCCGCCTCCATGCTCCTTATCGCTCAGCCTGGGCAGGCAAACATCTTCTTTCTCAGGGTCTTGGATTCTATTTTGCACAATAGTTTTATGACTCTACAGACAGCTGAAGCGATGGGAACCGAGGACACCCGGAGGAGAAGATAACGTCTGTTAGCCTATATTTATGCAGACTCTCCTGTGTGTCATCATTTTGCATGAAAGAGAGAAGCAGGAAGGCCAGGTTATCACATTTCTTATTAGTAAATTGAGGATAACAGTCACTGTTTCTCTGTCTCATAGCATTGTTTTAAAGAATTGGTAGCTAAGCTTTAAAGTATGAAATATTCTACAAACCTTCATTACAGTGTCATATTTAGCAAACTTGCAAGATGAACTGGTATTGTGCTCTTGTAGAAATAATTGAGGCAATAACAAGGCCACAAAAGCCGAGGCATTTCTTAGGAAAAAAAAAAAAAAACTATCTTAGCTCAATTCTGACATGTGGCTCAGTTTAAATGACCCAGGTGAGGTGAGGGGGCAAGGATGGCGTGTCCTGCACATCCTTTGCAATAATTGAATCTCTGATTGCAAAGGTTATGCCATAACATTTTAACCTTATTTATTCTGTGTGTGTGTGTGTATAAATGCATGCATGTGTGCATATTTAGGCTTATGGGTATGTACAAAGAGGAATCTAAAATAAAAAGTACAGCAGGTTTGATATGCAGCTTTGCATTTCTATTCAAGCACAGAAGAGAGCTTCACAGCTTGTAGTGTTGTTGTGCACCTGCCTTAAAAATTCATTAATCATGTGGCAGGGGAGGGTGGGGTGAAACAGGTGCCATCAAACATTTATTTTTCCCTAGCTGTACCAGCCAAATGTTGAACAGCTGTATTAATAATTCATTTCCCTCTGTCCTTTAGCACTTTGCTTCCCATTCCAAAAAATGTTTTATTAAAAAAAAAAAAAAAAAAGGTTTTCTCAGTATGCTGAGGAACATGCCATGGATGGAAACATTGCTCTAGCAATCTGCTTTCTTCCATTGGCTGCAGAGTAGCTGGGTGTAATTCGTTTGCTCTCCCTTTGCGTCTTTGAACTTTTCTGAAGGGACCAAGGAAGTCACCACAGCACATGGCTCTCTTCCCTCTTTCTGGATTCTCATTTTTTTTTATTGGTCCTTCTCCCCACTGTTGGATTGGAGACAGGGATGAAAGGAGTGAAGTTTTAGAGCCAGTTTAACATGTTAACATGGCATGTTAACAGTCTCAAAGTCACAGCCATTAAAGGTCTGAGGATATTTCCTGTGACCGTAACTTCATCTGGTCTGGGTCTTTTTTCCTCCTCATGCACAGTAAATAAGGTGAAAGTGATCAGCACTCTAAACAATAGTATTGCATTTTTATGTATTGTATGAATAAGAACATTTAAAGCTGATAGCTAATGGGAACATTTCAACATACTGCAAGTTCCCTTGTCATAAATGCAAGCCCATTAGACTCCACCTGAGGCCATCACTGAGTAGAAGCAATAGCAAGTCCCTAGGATGTCCCACATGCTAAATCAAGCCTGCTGTGCTCATTTGGTTGTTTTAGTGTATTTTACAGTTTGCTTTCTTTTCTTTTTTTTTTTATTTTTATTTCAACAAAATGAAAATAGAGCTCGGAAGTAAGTTGTATGAGCTGTTCCTTTCTAAATTTGAAGAATTTACCACTGCATGCAAAAAAAATAGAGTCTTTATTTGTGAACTTCAATGGTCTGATTGCTGCCAAGGAAACGCGATTGAGAATCATGATCTTTTGCTGTGATAAGTGAAGTTTATAACATCAGAATATTTCATATTTTCTCTTAATGAACTTGAGAACAAAAGTCTGTCAGTTTTCTTGTAATCTGGTTGCTGCAGCTAAAGACTTGCCATTACCTAGAGATATGTTTTTACAGTCTGTGCGAGTTTTGGGCTGGTTGCCATTAGGTACTGTCACACTGGTATCAGTGGGTACTGCTTTTGATAAAAGATTGCTCAAAAGAAGTCAACATACAGACTGGCAAATAGATGATTCAGAGACCTTTAAGAAAAGCAGAAAGTATATATCCTGCAAATTGTTTGAAAGTGCACTCACCAAAACACTAGGATTATCATTCTGGTCAAATAATTACATGCTTACCTCCGAGTAAATAATCTGTCCTCAGGCTCTAATGATACACTGGAGGGTCCTCCATACTTTTTCCTTTAAAATAGCTCCAGCTTGTAGCCTCTGAAAGCACCATTCCTACAAACCACATACACATGTTGCTCTAAAGGAAGCCTTCAGGGGAAGAAAAAATGTGTATGACATTCAGTAATAAGCTTCTGGAATGTCGACTTTAATGTGAACAATTGATTTCTACCTTAACAGAGTTATTTCTACATATTAAGAACATATTCACTGTTCACAACTTATTTTCCTCATGGAGGTTAGCCTAGGTATGAAAGGTGAATGTTTGGTAACTAAAGATCTGAATACAAGATTCCTGAGTTTAGAGCAACTCCCAGAAGGCTTTTATTTATTTAGATAGACAGACAGACACACAGACAGCTAAAATACTGATATGTATATCTACATATATATATATATATACACACACAAAGAAAAACAAACAAAACAACAAAAAATTAATACATTTTTGAAGTTACCAGCCTTCACTTACTTCTCAGAATTTAAATGATAATTTGTATCCATTTTCTTCAATTTAGTTTAATAAAATAAACATCACTGAATAGGACTCCTTTCCCCAATTCTACCTCTAGTTTAAAATAATTTATAGCTCCCTTGGAAATGTCAAGCTATTGTGGACGAACAGATCGGTTGGCTTCCAGGAACCTAAGGAGAATGATCCTGATCCCTCCGAAAGCCTTGGCAGTTTTGTTATTAACTTAAATGGGGTCAGAATTTTATCCCCTATTTATTCAAAATACAGAGAAGACAAAAGGATTTTCCACATATGGGTTATGGTTGAAGCAATTTGAGGCACACAAAGCCACAAAGTGAAGAACTTCTTTATATCTGCCATGACTTACCACACAAGCTGGCAGAAGCATGGAGCTCTTTAGTGCACCACTGCCAGACTTTCAGTTTTTGTTTTACAAGAACAGTTGTATATGCTATTGTGAAGTCACGTTTCCTTTGTAAGATAAACATAATTTTCTAAGTAACACAATAGGTGAGAAATAGGCAGAGTGTGCGTTAGCAACCCACATGCCATAAAATGCTGCCATTATTTTCGTTTGAGAGGTAACCACTTGGTTGCCCCTTGAGATATTAGAACACATGGCATTTATCATCCATGTGTTATAAATTCATGTGTTGTTTTTGAAAAATGCTATTTATTGCTCAGAATATCCACTAGAAAAATCATTGAAAGTCTAATTTAATCTCTGTTGGAAAATGTTTAACATACTACTAATTCACTTAAGAGATGAATTGCTTATTTTTGAAAATCACATATAGAAACCCACTCCTATGGAAGTTAATCTGAAAAACAGTTTAATTCAAAAATATGTAGGAAGGTCATGCATATATCTTTCAAAGTACATGCCTAACAAAGGTAAGCAAAGATAAAATATACACTCAATTCTTTCATAATTTTTGAATAGTGCATTGAAAAGTTATGTCTAACATAAGTTTAAAATGTAATCATTTAGATTTGCAAGCTATGTACAGAAAGGTAAGGTAATTAAACATATTGGCAAGTATATTGGTTATTTAGCTGCTGGTCAGATGAAAGTTCTGTTAAATTAGTGAGAACTCACTTATCACTGTATTTCCATCAGGTTCAAACACCTGCTAAGCCAATCCATTTCTGACTGAACAGGACTAATACCTGTATCTAGTCATGTAGGCATGGGAAGATTTGATTGCTACAACATTAACAACAAAAATCCTTTGTTTCTTCCTATATCTACTTGCCACGATACTGAGGCTTTGAGGAATGTTTTGGCTTTCTTTCATGTAGCCTGGATAAACTGTTACCTCCCTTTTTGAATTCAACTTTAACCATAGCAAACAGTAGTCTAAAGGACATCACATTTCCTTGCTCTTTCTTTTTTTTGCGGTGTCAAAGAAGCATGCTTCTCATTGTACTAGACACATGACCAATTCTGATCTTATACAATGTACTTGGGCATTGTCCATGCAATTCTCTTGTCCTTGTAAGTTTTATGCATGTTTTTTAGAAAGCCTTGGATGACTCCAGAGCCACCCACAGTCTCACTTAAAATTCCACTTTTTAGGTTAAGAAGTGTAAAAATGGAACAAAGGAAACTGAATGATCAAGCCAACACTTTGGTGGACCTGGCAAAGGTTAGTAGGCAATTATTGTTGTTTTGCAATAACATTCATCCTTTCAAAATGAAGAACGTGTAAGTGAATGTTATGCATTACACATGCAAATGGTGCATTTTTAAATATGTGAACTTCTAAAAAGGTTTATCTAATTAATTTAGAGTTTGACATTTAAAATGCTACTGAAAATATCAGTGTTACATTTATGTTCAAAAAAATTAGCACCAATAGAAATTTTTGTTGTGAATCGACAAATTATTTCATAAGACTAGATCTTGTTCTAATATTCATATCCCCTTTTGTGAAGTGCAAACCCTTGTAAAGTTGTGTTGCACATTGCAATGTTTGCAAGAACTTTCTAAACCTTTGCTTACATCCTTCTAATTTCAGACTCAAAACATCATGTACGACATGATTTCTGACTTGAAAGAAGCGAAGATTTTGAGAAGAGAATTGTTACTCTGGAAACTAAACTGGAAACTTTAATTGGTAGCATTCAAGCTCTCCCAGAACTGATTAGCCAGACAATCAGCCAGCAACAGAGAGATTTCCTCGAGTCTCAGATACAAAATTGTGATAAACATGTTGCTTACAGTGCTGAGCGATCACAGTCTTTGTCAAGGAGGAGGAGATCCTCATCTACAGCACCACCAACTTCATCAGAGAGTAGCTAGAAGAGATTGAGCTAACCACAAAATAAAGACTTTTTTGCCATCATATGGTCAATATTTTAGCTTTTATTGTAAAGCCCTATGGTTCTAATCAGTGTTATCTGGGTTCTGATGTCAGAATCCTGAGTGAAAACTATTTTTTCCCCTCTTCCTCCTCCCAGATGCACAGTGAATGCACCTATTATTACTATATTAGATTGTTCCTCCTGTAATTTCACCAACTTTTTATTCATGCACTTCAAACAAACTTTACTACTACAATATATAATAAAAAGGCTATTTTCTGCACTTATTTCCTTGGTTGCTCAGACTTTAACAGTTAAAAAAAATGATCAAAAGTGCTAATACTAAACCTTTAAGAAACAAAAATCAAGCTTAATTATCACTCAGTATGAAAATTCATTCTTTAAACTTTGCCTGCAGTGGAAGGAGGGGAAAAACATCAATGTTCCTCTAACAATGTGCTGTGTATGTGTAGTCATTTTAAAAGGTCACTGACTGCTTCAGTTACTGAAGTGATTAGTTAAAAATATAATCTATCCTAGAAAATCAGTTATGAAATACACCATGAATTTTTAAATATCTTCTTAAGGCTTTTGTTTAGCATTTCTGTTTAACAATGCATTTGTACACACACTACACACCCACACATCTATAAATTATTTATGCAATGCCCATGGCAAAGGCTTTTTAAAACTATGTGTGCAAAAGGCATGAGTGAATTCCCATTAACTTATTCAGTTGAGTTCCCCCAATCATACCAGGTAAGTATACCCAGAAAGAAGTATCACTTCTAAGGTGGTAGTCTCCCATTAAAACTATCTGGGCTTTGAAAGTCTTAAGTTGGTCCTTTTTCCACTCTTGTCTTTGTGTTTAAAGTTTTTGAAGACAGTTTCAGCACACACAAATGTGTTATGGCAACACAAGATTCTGCATGCATCCTATGTAGGCAATCCTCATGGTCTCTGTGGTCTCTGCTATGCAACCAAGCTTTGTAACACACACTTAATATTTTCAAAAAAAGGTTGGAAAGAAACCTGGCATAGACTGAGTTACACTAGTGGGATATCTGTGGTACTTTACTTTCATGCACAAATAATAGTCTTCTGCTTTCCTCAGAAAGCACATGGTACACATTTATGAAACGATTCCAGATGGCTTTTCTCTTGGTTTCTATTCCAGAGGAGCAACCCTAGGTAAGTGTAAATGCACAGTACATATAATTTGCGCTCATGATTTCTATTTATAAATAGGAAATTATTTTACTTTATAAAATAATTTATAATATTTGCTCTTTTATAAATAGCAAATTATATAAGCCCCTCATTAATTTACATACAGGAGTTACAACTATAGCTAAGTGTAGCCAGTAAGCAGGGGTAAATGCTTCCTAGGAATACTAAGTCTGGCTAAATATAACCAATATGCCTGGTGAAGGAAATGAGGGTTGCTTTATGGAAAGAGTACAAGTTCTGGTCAGCCAAGACAGCCAGGGAGGACAATAACACAAAAGTCAGGCACAACAGAAGAGTTATTCTCAACACCCAATATTCCCCAAACCAAACACATGCCCTTTCATAATCTGAAAAGCAGCGCATGCTTGAGTACTACTTCTTTATAGGCTGTGGTATTTTGTGACCAGAAATAATAAGCACTATGCATAGTATTTACAAATCTGCTTTGTTTTTTTTTTTCAGCTCATCTCCTTTGAGTTACCAAAGTCAAAAGATGGATGATATTACATAGTGCTACTACTCTGCCAGCTCAGCCACAGTAAATCCTAAACTAGATGCAATTTTGGAAGACATTAAGCCATCACAGTTGAATAGCTAGGCATAAGGATCTTTTTCTTGAAGATTTTAATTTTGTCATTCTCCCATTTTTTCATGTATATTTTAGAATGTTTTTGCAGTCATTGAATGCAAAATACTGTTTTTTATAGCTTAAAACATTTATTTTTCTCTTGCCAGCTTGAACTAGCTCTTCTCTTGCTTACAACATAATTTTTAATTTGTAAGACCCTTTTTATGATTACTTTCCCCTGTCTTGACTGGACAACTCTGTAAAGAACTGTACTTCCGTATTAAAAATTCTTGCCATTTCCTCAGAGTTAAGGTTGAGTCAAGAGCTGTCTACAAATGTTCAACTGGCTTATCCTGCTGTGAAAGAGTAACTATCAATCACCTTAACCTCTCTAACCTCTGTTATACAGTAGGACTCAAGAGCCTGAACCTACTAAATTCTTGCAAGCAGTCCTGTTGGATTAGGCTAATCACATCAATAGGATTTTATACTAGTCTGCCAAATTATTTGAAATTCCTACAAATAACAACACCAGGGAAATTCAATTTCTTGATTTACTCTATAGCTCTCTACAGATTTTATCTGAATTTTTGACACTGATAATTCTTTCCTTCTAAGATCTGTCTTAGAAAAGCACTACATGTGAATCTCGTCCACGAAAATATATATATAAACTTGCATTCAGCACAAATTATTATGGTTTTAACTTTCTTACTCCTAATTAAAAACTCCTTTTCATTTTTCCTCATTTTACTCTTGTACCATGAATGCCATTCCTATTTTTTAAGTTTATTTCTGAAACATAAGCTCCTTCACAGTGCTCACCATAATAGCTTGCCAAAACAAGAAAGTAATGCTATGGCAAATCTGTGAAACTGCTTCTGTAGTTAGATTTTTCTTTGAATGATTGTCTACAAACAATAAGGATATTTAATTGAAATTTCGCTTTGGGTCTGAGATTCTGAGATCATGGGTATGCTGAGGGCTGCTCATCTCACAAAATGAACCAAGAGTAAAAAAAAAAAACACACACAAAACACACCAAAAGTCCTCGAAAACTCCATAATAGAAAGCAGAAGAAAACATGAAAGAGCTTGTGATAAATTAGTGTCTGAAAGCCAAATGAAACAAAACAAAACAAAAACAAACAAACAAAAACCTACCTCAGGAGCACTTTAAGATAAACTTTACAGTTTCCTGAGCAACAAAAGCCAGCCTGCCTAGAACAAAGTGTGGCAGTACTCTGCCATCCCAAACAAACCAAGAATCCAAATTTCTACGGGAGAAGTTAGAAAGATCCATGGAAATAAACCTGGCTGGCACATGAACTTCGCACGCATGATGACAAGAAACCTGTCTTAAGAATCGCCCCTAATTTATCCTGTACTTTCAAACACTTGTGGCGCATAGGGTAATGTTACACTAATGATCAAAGTCCTCAAACTTGAATTTCATAAACATCATTTAGCAGAAGACACCATTTTAAAGGCCAGTCACTGAAAAAGGCATTGCCAAGCACATGCACAAAGATGTAATGGGGTATAGCATAATATGCTCTCAAGCAGCAAGTGTCATTGTCGAGAGAAAACCCCATTACATTACAAACATGTAGGCTTGAGCTGCAAAGTCTATCATCAACAGTGCAGGGCACCTCCACTTCCTCCATTGCTCTCACCCACCCTCAACTTTTTGCAGTAAATGTTTTCAACTTCTGAGCCCTGTGATCTGTGCTTATGGCATTGTCGTCCCTGGGACAGCCTGACCTGAAAGGCCAGACAGCTCCAGGCACCTGCTTGCCTAGCAGGAGGTAGTGGATGGCAAGATCCCTCCTGAGAAGGGGGCATGGACGCTGTACATCGCCTTGAGCAGGTAGCCATGCTCGTAACTGGGGAATTACTATGACTCCACCCTTTCTCCCATCCAAAGATATCACTAAGTTTCTCAAATGAATCCCAAGCTGCTTCAAAAGATAACGCAAGAGCAGCTGGAAGGGTTTCTGTTCTTTTAGGGTTTTAAGTTGCAATCTACACACAGAGGAAGCCGCTCAGGTATCAAAAGTGCAGTGGTAGAAAATTAGGCCATACTTTACTTATTTCAGTTATCAAGTACATGAAAAGAAACTTTACAATTGTACATAAGAAATAGACTGCTTTTCCAGTGCTACAAGATTCAGGGTTATATTTCCTGCCATGCTGCCTTGTTTCCTCCAGCCTATAAAATATATTTAGTGATTCTGCTATATTTATTTTTGGTTTGAAGCAATTACTCTAATACAGCAGCATGAAATAAGTGCACTTTCAGAATTGCAGATATTCTTCTCAGCAGAATGGAAACAGAAGAGAGATGGGCAAGTAGTGGGTAGGCTTTACAAATAAGTTTTGCCACAAATTTCAGAGATAGAAATAGGATAGAGACAGGCTGTCACAGCCTGGAGCCTGGCTATTAATAGTCAATGGATGGGTTTTAACTGTCCTTTGAAGGCTATGCCCATATCAGCTTCAAAGAGGAGATAGACAACCTCTATAGGCAATGCTGACAGGGTCTGGTATCTGGTGGCGGTGTTAGTCTCTATTCAGATTTCATCAGTCTGAACATCCACTTCATCTGTCAGGGTAGTCAGCTTCCTGCTCAAGGTTCTCCAACTGTAGTATATAATATTAAAAGATGACTAGACATTAAACTACAGACAGCTAGACTGCTACCATAGAAAATACTTGCTTTTAAAAGTTTAACATTTGCCTTCTTTTTCCTTTGCATTAAAAAGATTAAAAAGGATGAATTATGAAGCACAGTATTGGTTTTATCGAGAAAGAACAATTTGTACATTAAGCTTTTTCTAAATGACAAGCAGATTGGTAAAGTCTCTCTCCCCCCCCACAAGCTGTCTTCACCCTCCCCTCCTTTGATCTTTACTCAGCGCCTCCAAGAAAGACATTGTCAGATGCAGAGGCCTTTTACAACCTTCTAGGTTGGTGAAAAAAATGACAGTTATTTGTGTACAAAGTGGCCAGAAATGAGCTGGTGGCATTTGAATGCACAATTCAGGTTATGAAGTTCCTTCTGCCTTGACTCTCACTGTTGGTGCTGCAGGAATCTAAGGAGTAGCTCACTTTGCACTGCTACTCAAGTTGTCTGATAGTTATTTGAACAATTCTGGCTCAACCCAAGCACATGATGCAGAATCTGTGTGAGGACAATCTTTGTTTCTAAGAGTTTTGACCATTGCAGATGCTTATTTCTCTCTCCATTTCTGTCCCAGAACAAGAAGGGAACAGCAAGGAGG